CGTTTGGCTGGAGTAGAAGGTTTATTGTCTAAAGTTTTCTGTCTTAATTTAAAAATGGGCAAAGGATTTGAATAGATATTTCGCCAAAGAAGCTATACAAACGGCCAATAAGCACGTGAAAAGATGCTCGATGTCCCTAGTCACAGGGAAACGTAAGTCAAAACCACAATGAGATGCCACCTCCCACGCATTAGAATGGATGTTATCGAAAGCACAGAAAATAACAAGTGTTGGCAAGGCTATGCAGACACTGTAACCCTGTGCACTGCTGGTGGGAATGGAAAAGGGTGCAGCTGCTCTAGAAAACAGTGTGACGGTTCCTCAAAACACGGAACGTAGACGTACCTTGTGATATAGCGATTGCTCTTCTGGGTACGCACCTGAAGGAGGTGAAATCACGGACTCCGGCTCTCTGTTCACCCATGTTCATAGCAGCATCCATTATTCCAAACTGCAAAAGGGAGAGTTTTAAGTGTCTAGCAGTGGATGAACAGATAAACAAAATGAGGTATAAACATACAAGGAAATGTCGTTCAGCCTAAAGAGGCATGAAATTCTGGTACCTGTTACCGCACTGAAGACTCTCGCAAACGTTATTCTAAGTAAAATAAGCAAGACACCAAAGAACAAATATTATGTGATTCCTCTCGTGGGAAGCAGCTGGTGTGGTTAATTCATAGAGACAGGAGATGGGATGGTGGCTCCCAGGGGCTGTGGAGTCACTACCGAATGCAGCAGAGTTTCTGTCCGGGTGATGAGAGGATTCACGAGCTGGATGGTGACAGTTCACACAATGTGAACGCGCTTTAGGCCACATAACTGGACACTTAAAAACGGCGGAAGCGGTACATTTTTTTTTAACATCTTTATTGGGGTATAATTGCTTTACAATGGTGTGTTAGTTTCTGCTTTATAGCAAAGTGAATCAGTTATACATATACATATGTTCCCATCTCTCTTCCCTCTTGCGTCTCCCTCCCTCCCACCCTCCCTATCCCACCCCTCCAGGCGGTCACAAAGCACCGAGCCGATATCCGGCTGCTTCCCACTAGCTATCTACCTTATGTTTGTTAGTGTATATATGTCCATGCCTCTCTCTCGCCCTGTCACAGCTCACCCTTCCCCCTCCCCATATCCTCAAGTCCGTTCTCCAGTAGGTCTGTGTCTTTATTCCTGTCTTACCCCTAGGTTCTGCATGACATTTTTTTTTCTTAAATTCCATATATACGTGTTAGCATTCGGTATCTGTCTTTCTCTTTCTGACTTGCTTCACTCTGTGTGACACTCTAGGTCTCTCCACCTCATTACAAACAGCTCAGGTTCGTGAAATGGTACATTTTATGCTATGCATATTCTACGACAGTGTGGACTGAAGTTTGTCTTGCTAGGCTGCCCCTTTCCCGGGCCCTTGGCTGTAGAGAGCTGACCTCAGTTGTGTGGGGGTCGGTTTGTCTGCACCGGTTGACATTTCTCGGTTACTCATCCCTGTGCCCTGAGGGTCCTGAGGTTCCTTGCCTGCCTGCCTTCTTCTCTCCAGCCTGTAGTCACCTTATGCTTCTTTTATAGGTAATGTCCGTGGATTTTACTTGCACTTTGTGGGAGGAATAGGGAAAAATATGTCTGCTCCATCTCTCCAGAAGCAGAAGTCTCCAAGTCACTTTATTTTATGGAGACAGTTCTGCCCATGTTTCACTTCTGTTGCTAGCCGGTGAAGTCTCACTCATTTCCATATAGTTTTATAAAACTAGGGCTGAAAACATCTTTTGTTCAAGGGCTCCTACTTCTGAAATCGCGTGTCAACATTTCTAAACATTTCCAGAGAGCGGCAGAGAAGTGGCACCGTGTCATTCATCATAGCGTTTCACTGTCCACCGTCTCTTTTGCCCCAGGCCTCAGTAATGCTGATCCCCGGTGCATCTGACTAGCACTCGTTCCATGATCATAAAATTAGTTTATTCTACACATGCTGCCACCTCGCAGCTTGTCATATTGTTACTTTCCTTGGCTCATGCCTGCTGTCTCGTCCACGGTTCTGTTAGCACGTGTGATCAAATATGCTTATGCGGGATTCGTCCCTTTCGTCCTCATCATGACTGCTGGTTTTTACAACACTCCTTGGAGGAAACACCGTGGTGCGGCAGCGAAAGCAGTGGGTTTTGAATTAGGACGTTTGGGTTAAGTCCTAGTTTCGCTGCTAACTGGCTAATCATTTGATTCCCCTGGGCCTCAGATCCCTCATCATTCAAATGAGGGAAGCAGAATTAGCCCCTTCCTGTGGGACCGGCTTCATGTTGAGGCCACTCACTTGTCATCGAATCAAAGGAATTATCAGACCGGCGGGATTGAGGCAAAGTTGTCGCCGCAGGCGTGATCCCTGATGGCTGTCTGCTGATGGCGGAACTGTCAGTGGATGAACGGCAGGTGCAGAATTTCCATCGAGATTCCTATTTTGGGTTTGTCGCTGTAATTTTTTATTTCCGTTGATGACTGTGCTTGGAGCGATACCCAAATTTTAAATGACTTTTGTCCTTTTCCCCGTTGAATTTCAGTGCCTTAATCCCAGGTCTTCTTTCACCTCTGCCTTTCCGTCTCCCCTTGACCCCCTCTACTCCTTCCTTCCTGAAGTTGAAGTGCTCACCTAAGCAGAGCAGGTCACCTGTGCTTCCTCGATGTGGAGAGAAGAGCTAACGCAGGGCTTGCTGTCGCCAGGGCAAGCAAAGCGACCCAAGGCCATGCCCCGAATCCCTGTCAGGGCGAGGGGAGAAACAGGCGCGAAAGGCAATGGGGCAGGAGGGGAGCCGGGGGCAGGAGAGGTGGATGAGCCGGATGGCCCCAGGAGACAGGAGCGCAAACACAGGAGCATCTCCCGTCGGGTGGGGATGAATCACTGTCATCCCCAGGGCTCGGCAGGGTGGCAGCACCGTCCTCGCTCAGACTCTGAGTCATTTGTAGCTGCCAGCGTGGGATGGCGGGACTGTGCGTCCTGCCCCTGTTAGAGTTTGCCAGGTGGACAGGTGTCTCTGCAGAGCAGTGTGGCCTGGCTGGACACAGCGCCCGCGGTCTGACAGAATCTGCATCACCTCAGCCCCTGTAGGGCACCGTGTCGGCCGACCCCCCTCCCACCCCACGCTCTGGGAACCAGACCCTGGCCTCCTGTCATCCCCAGCAGGAAGGGGCGGAGAGCTAGCCCCCACCCGACACTGCCCAGGCATCTGGCTTTAGGAGGTTTTCAAGAAATGGACCCGCGACGGGGCTTCCCTGGTGGCGCAGTGGGTTGAGAGTCCGCCTGCCAATGTGGGGGACACGGGTGCGTGCCCTGGTCCGGGAAGATCCCACATTCCGCGGAGCGGCTGGGCCCGTGAGCCATGGCCGCTGAGCCTGCACGTCTGGAGCCTGTGCTCCGCAACGGGAGAGGCCACAACAGTGCGAGGCCCGCGTACCGCAAAAAAAAAAAAAAAAAAGAAATGGGCCCGCGAGGTTCGTGGTGATGGTTCACTCCCAAGAACAGTGATATCCATGAATCACTCTGTGCAGAAGCAGCCAGAACCAAACACCTAAAGGGAACGAGAACAGCCGCGCCAGGAGCACAGAGCACCCGGGCCCCGTGTGTGTGAGCGCCTGCGTGCACGCGTGTGCCGACACGTGTGTGCGTGTGCATGCGTGTGTTTCCCAGATGACCCCATGAGGGATGGCTCTGTCCTTTGCCGCCTCTACTCTGACATGGATTTTTCTCGTCTTTCTCTCCTTTGCGGGACAAGCCCAGCCCCCTCCGTGACTGCCAGGCTCTGGTCACTCTTCAGAGAGACCTGTTCTGCCCGGGTGGGAGGGGTCTGAGTAACTCCCACCATCGAGATGCCCCCAAACCTCCCGGGTGGGTGTGCTGGTGTTTCCGGCTTTCCCCAGCGGAGCGCACCTCTCCTCAGCCTCCTAAACTCGACAGACGTCAGGCGGGGCGGGGAAGGAAAGCAGAATCCTCGCACCCGAAGCCCCAGCACCGCCCCCATCCAGTAGGACCCCTGGCGAGGCGGGCATGAACGTGACCGTGTGGAGGGGCGACTCTGCAGAGCTCCCAGCGCACCGGCAGCGGAGCTCCGGGCCTTCGGGTTTGAGGCCCTCGAAAGGCCTGTTTAGAATCAGAGAATCGGGGCTGGAGCTGCTTCTACTTTCCTGGTTAGAAACCGCAGAAAAGCGCTTCGGAAGCCTCGCTGCTTCCGGCTGCAGTGGCTCAGCTGGCGGTGTGTTCAGAGCCCGCCAGGCCCTGAGAAGCAAGGCCCGGAGCCCTGTGCTGCTCCCCGGCCAGCCCTCTCCCGCCCCGAGGTTGCCCCAGCTGTTGGCCGACGCCTTCCAGCTGCTCCGGAAGCCAGCTGCCCTGCCCCGTGGAGGCCCCCTTCTGTAATCCTGCCACGTGCCTTTACATCCATGCAGCCTCAGAAAGGAGGCAGAAGGCAGCCCTGCGCCTGCGCTGCCCCTGGGGGAAGAGTCACGTGGGAGGCACGTGGGGGCGGGGTGAAGCTCAGTGCTGACGGGGCTCTGCTGCCCGCTTCTTGGTTGCTGAGTTGGGCAAGCACCCTAGAAGGGCGCCCCCGGGAGCTCGGGGTAAGCCTGCCGGTGCTGCGTGGTGGAACCCCTTCCCCAGCGAAGCTCCCAGGCAGGCACCATCCCTGGGGCGGCACGCGTGAGAAAGTGTCCAAGCGTGAGTCCGTGACTTGTCACCCCCTCGGTGCCTCTTGGGCCCTCCCTGGATCTTTTGAGGGGTGGAGCCCGGGGGGGTCGAGGCAGCAGGTGGGAGTCACGTGGAGGGCGAGGGCGTGGCCGGAAGCGCCGGGGCGGGGCGCCGAGGGTGCTTTGCTGCCAGCTCAGAGCCCTGGCTCTGCCACCAGTCCATCAGCCTAGTTCAGCCACCTCCAGCCCGTGGCGAGTGCGCGGGCAATCTTACTTTTTTGAACCAGGGAATAAATAAGTATCTTGATCAACATGTAAATAAGTAGATATTTACCAGACACCTGTCAAAAGGATTTACTGCATTTTCAAACGATGGAAGCCAGAAGGAGGGGCTGTGTTGAAGGAAAAGACAGTCTCCGACCCCAGGGGTCTCCAGTCTGCTGTGACCCAGCACATGGTTCTGGTTCTACACGGTGGTATCGTGGGGTCGGTAAGATGCGGTGGCACTGAGGAAAGACCGAGAAACATGCAGGTTTGCCCAAATCTAACAAAGTAAAATGTAGGTGACTTTTATAGTATAAGCTAGGAGGCTGGGAGAAAGAGACATTCATAACGTCACTCAGCTCTTGGGCCCGCTTGTGGCCTTCTGGCAAATGAATGAATGAGTGAGTGAATGAGTGAGTGAATGAGTGAGCGAGTGAATGAATGAATGCATACACTGGTGAGCTGAGGCTGACTCCCGCGCTCCCTCCACCCCCTCCCCGTGCATCCTTCCCCGGCGGCATAAACTGCTGTATGAATTTGTGGCTCCCGTCAAATGGAACCACCTGAGATGGAAAGGCTCAGTTACTGGCGCGGACGGCTGCTCAGGTCAGCTCTGACGGATGCTCCTACCGCCGCTCCGAAGCCCTCGGCCCCAGCACCGCTCACGGTGCGACCCGCAGCTGCTGGGTCTGGGCTTTGACGGCTGCTTCTGGCCAGACCCGGCCTGTCCCGTCGTCTCTCCTAAGTCCCACTGCCACGTGGTCCCCGAGCCACACAGTCCTGCCCCGCCGTCCCCCCTCCCACTGGCCCTCTGTGCAGCCCCTGCCCTGGGCTGGAGCAGCGCTCCCTCCCTCTATCCCCGCCACTCCCTGCATTCTGCCTGATCGGCCATTACTTGAATATCGAATTTCCCGTGGAGACAGTGATGGACATGAAACCACCTCGACTGAGGGCCGTGCAGTGGGACTGAGTCAGAGGCGGAGCTCAAGGCCTGCGCCCGGCGCTGACTCCCCGTGGGCCCTGGACTGGCTGCTTGACTCCTCTGGGCCTCACCGTGATGAGAGGCGGTACGGCACCAGCCACTTGGGACCAGAGCGCGCGGACTCACCACATCACGCGTGGTGGGCGCCCAAGGGCCTCCTTCTCTCCTCACCCCGCGGGGCTCCACCACTCCAGCGCTTCCCCTAGAAAGACTGACACGCCGTCCAGGGCCCTGGTGAGCAGCGGCTGGGAGTGGGGGGTTTCCTAGATGGTCAAGGACTAAGTCGCGTGTAAACTCCGGGAAGGACACCGGCTCCCTGTGGTGACGACTCTGCTTACCTGTGCCGGGCTGCTCACCTGGGCGTAGATGCCACAGAGGGGGTGCGAGTGTCACCACGGCAGCTCCGCCTGGACCCACCGTCTCAGAGGAAAGCCCGTGTCCTCTGAGATGCTCGTAGCTCTTCTGGGATCACAGAAGCCACGTGGTCTGTGGTGCAAGGGTCCGGCCTGGAACCTGGAGTGTGGAGGAGGCTGAGTTGCCCTCTGTGTCTAGCTGGTGTCAGGGAGGGGTCCCGGAGCCTCCCGGCTGAAGGGACTCGTCGTGTTGCGATGACCTCTGTCCCTTCTGATCCCGCCCCGGGCTTGAGTGCCCCAGGCAGGCAGGGGCGCTGCTTCTGCATCTGTGGGCCCCAGGGTAGTAAATGTCAGTGGACATAATCAGAACTCGGGTCCCCGGGGCCCGGCATCTGACTGGACCACAGCCTGATTCTGGCCCAGCGCGTGGAGTCAGTTCCGCAGACGCTGGGGGCGGGGGCATGCGGGGGGAGAGGACAGCAGTGGGGAGCGGTGACTCGGGGGAGGGCGCTCACCCCAGGGCAGAGCCTGCTGGTACTCCGACCTCTCGCCGGCTGCGTGCTCATGGGGACTTCTGGCCGGAGGGGTCAGAGGTCAGTGGGACCCTGGCTGTGGTTGGGCAGAGGTGCTGGGTCACTGGCTTGCTTTCTGCGCAGAAGGTAGACAAATGGCTGACTCTTCCAGGAGGACCCAAGACTCACACCCACAAGCCCCTCTTCCCGGGTGTGTTGGACACGCCCCCCCGGTGCACCCTGGGCTCCTGCTACACGCGTGCACACGCCCTCTGTGGGCAGACACCTGGGCATCATAGGCATGGCTTCAGGAACCTGGACGTCTCAGGGCGTAAACGAACCCTAGCAGTGTCGCACTTTTCTTTCCTGCTCCCGTGTGTCTTCTATTCCTGCCTATTCTGCCTTTTTCCTCCTTTCCGTTTTCCAATTTTCTTCTCTAGCACTTTCTTTAAGCTTTTATTTTATTTTTTTAAACTGAGGTATAGCTGATGTCCAATATTATGTTAGTCTCAGGAGTAATAGTGATTCACAATTTTTTACGATTATACTCCATCTAAAGTTATTACAAATATACTTCTGTATATTAATTTTGTATCCTACCACTTTACTGAATCCGTTGATGAGCTCTAGTAGTTTTCTGGCAGTGTCTTTAAGCTTTTCTATCTGTAGTATCATGTCATCTGCAAACAGTGACAGCTTTACTTCTTCCTTTCCAGTTTGGATTCCTTTTACTTCTTTTTCTTGTCTGATTGCGATGGTTAGGACTTCCAATACTCTATTGAATAAAAGTGGCGAGCGTGGACACCCTTGTCTTGAGGAGGTGCTTTTAACTTTTCACTGTTCAGTAGGATGTTAGCTGTGGGTTTATCACATACGGCCTTTATTATGATGAGCTATGTTCCCTCCCTACCAACACTGTGGAGAATTTTTATCATAAGTGGATGTTGAGTTTTGTCAAAAGCTTTTTCTGCGTCTATTGAGATGGTCATATGGTTTTTATTCTTCAGTTTGTTTATGTGGTGAATCATCCTGATTGGTTTGTGGATGTTGGACCATCCTTGCATCACTGGGATTAATCCCAATTGACAGTGGCTTATGATCCTTTTAATGTAGTGTTGGATTCAGTTTGCTAATATTTTGTTGACGATTTTTGCATCTATGTGCCTCAGTGATATTGGCCTGTAATTTTCTTTTTTATGTGATGTCTTTGTCTGGTTTTGGTTTCAGGATGACGGTGGCTTCATAGAATAATTCTGGAAGCATTCCTTCCTCTGCAATTTTTTGGAATCGTTTCAGAAGGACAGGTGTTAACAGTGTTCTCTAAATGTTTAGTAGAATTCAGCTGTGAAGCCATCAGGTCCTGGACTTTTGTTTGTTGGGAGTTTTTTAAATTACTGATGCAATTTCATTTCTGGTAATTGGTCTGTTCATATTTGCTGTTTCTCCCGGTTTAGTCTTGGGACACTGTACCTTTCTAGGAATTTTTCCATTTCTGCTAGGTTGTCCATTTTATCGGTATAGTGTCAGTCATAGTCGTCTCTTAGGATGCTTTGTATTTCTGTGGTATGGGGGTTGTACCTTCTCCTTTTTCATTTCTGATTTTATTGATTTGGGTCCTCTCTGTTTTTCCTGATGAGTCTGGCTAAAGGTTTATGAATTTTGTTTATCTTTTCAAAGAATCAGCTCTTAGCTTCATTGGCCTTTCCTACTGTTTTTAATTCTCCATTTCATTTATTTCTGCTCTGATCTTTATGGCAGCACCTGGATTTAAAATCAGGTGGTCTCCCTCCAGAGACGGGACTCCTAACCACCGTGCCCTGAGCCTCAACTAACACAACAAGGCCAGAGGACAAGGTGGGAGTCCAGCTGGTGGCAGCCAGGCACGTGTCCATTCAGAGCAGGGGAGGCAAGGCCTTGCGTACTTGGCACCTGCCATGGGAGTCAGAGCCACTCATAGGACCTGAGGAATTCCTCACTCCCCAGGGCCCCTTATGGTCTGTGGACCCCAGGGAAACACACGTATAAACTGCACACCAAACTCTCTATGTGATTTTTCGTAGCCCGGGCAGAGGAGGGGAAGAGGCATCATTTTACAGATTAGAAAACTGAGGCCCAAAGAAGCAACATGCCTCACCCCAAACAGAGGCCTCTCGACCCAGTTGGGGTCTCAGCCCTGAAGCGGTGGTGGGCTGGGCCACGTGGAGGAGAGGGTCACTGCTGGGACCCGGGTCACCAAGGCCCGCAGTGTATCCTGTAAACTAGGAGCGAGGTGACTGTTCACTTACCCGCAGGCCTCCTTGGCAGGTTTCTGGACCACCCCTGAGAACGTTGAGACACGGAAGCCTGAGGTCCGGCCAGCAGACACCGTCTGCTCCCCACCGGGCCTTCCGTGGGACTCGGGGAGAGACCCCTGGCCCTCTTCCCCGAACCCCTGGGCCTCCTCACCTGCAGAAAATACATCGTTTCTGACAATCGTTGTGAGGATGGGAGGGCCTTTGGGTGGGGAGCTCTTTTTTTTTTTTTTTTTTTTCGCGGTACGCGGGCCTCTCACTGTTGTGGCCTCTCCCGTTGCAGAGCACAGGCTCCGGACGCACAGGCCCAGCAGCCACGGCTCACGGGCCCAGCCGCTCCGTGGCATGTGGGATCCTCCCGGACCGGGGCATGAACCCGCGTCCCCTGCATCGGCAGGCGGACTCTCAACCTCTGCGCCACCGGGGAAGCCCTGGGTGGGGAGCTCCTTGAGCAGTTCTGGAGCGAGGTATATGCGCTAAGACCCCCGTCCCACCCGGTCCCCAAAGTGTAGGAGACACTGTTACTTCAGCCAGATCCTGGATGAGACTAAAATCGCTCAGTAGCCACAAAGGTAAACGCTATCTGGTGACTGACCCCAGGGAGACGCTTCCATCTGCCTTGGAATAAAATGCTCAGAGTATTTCTCTCATCCTCCCAACCTGAAGGTTCCGGAAATGTAACACTGAGCAAAACACTTGACAGGGAACTTCTAGATGTTTATAAAACATGCCGCGATGGTGATATTTTTCTGTTAACCAGCTTGCAACCATTTTTATGGGATCATCTGCTGATTAGCCCAATAATTTGATGACTTGAAAACTTTGCTTCATAAACGAGAAAATGTAAAGTCGAAGAATTAAAAAAGACTTTCTAAGCTCACGTCACAAAGCAACTTAGAGACCACACCCGGTCAGAACCTTCCGTACTGGAAGCGTCATATCCTCTCAAAACCCCTTAGTAGCAGTGGTTTTTTTGAGGGACAAATGGGGTTCCCCTTAGGAAACAGGGTTGTCCGAGAGGATGGTCTTGGGTGGTCCCTGGCGTTCCTGTCATTCACCCTTGTCATGGCCGTGCTAAGGCGCCGTGAACTTGGCAGTGAGTGAAATACCGTTCTCTGGTTCTCTTCGTGGGGAAATCCATCAGTAATTAGACTCATTTTTCAATTTCGTCACCTAGAAACAGAAAATGTCCATAAATCTCCCCAAACAGACATTAGATGCCGCCGATTTAATTACCGATGAGTAAACAAGGTGATTCAGCCTCCATGAGACGCCCGAACGCGTTCGTCACCGGCTCATTAAACCACCGCGCAAGCGATTGTTCACTGCGAGGAGCGGGTGGGGTGGAGCCGGAGCAGGGGATCGTGGACGCGTGCCTTCACGTGAGGGTGCTGAGCCGGTGCCGCCGGGGTGGGAGGGGGACCCCGGGGGCGCGGGAATAACCCCGTGGTTGTGGCACCTCTGCAGACACGACTGTGACCCCGAGGCGGACCCTGTCCTTTCTCACCAAGACTGTCTCCTTCCCCCAAGTCCCCCCACCCGCCCCGTCCAGTAGGAAGACGCTCCCAAGCTTCCTCAGGTCGGTTCACCTACAAGGAGTAGGTGGGCGCTTTGGGAGCCTGCCTGAGGTATAATTAGGGTGACTACAGTCTCTAGTTCACCTGGGATCACCCCCGTGGGATCACCCCTGTGTCCCCACTAATTAGTCACAGCGTCCTGTTTCACTCTCAAAGCTGCCCTTATCTGACGGGTAAACTATATGGTCACCCTGTGCATCCCGCAGGGAGGGTACAGGTTGTAAGTCAGCACCGATGCGTTGATGGTCCTTGTGTTGAGAGGGGTGCTGAGGTCGTGTTGTGGGTCAGCAGGTGAGTTCATGGTGATGGCTGGGCGGTGTCTGCTGGGGGGGGCCCAGGTGGCGGGTGGCTTGAGCACCGGACAAAGGTCAGGAAATGGGGGTTTGCACCCAGCACCGCTCCGGTCATCTCGGGGTGTCACTTCTGTCTAACCCTGAGCCAGGTCACTCACAAGGCCTCTCAGTTTTGTGAGTCTAGCCTGTGTCGAGTGTACGTCACCCCACGGGACACTGGAGCCCCCTTCCTCCCCTGAGCTTCTGTGGCCCTGCGCTGATTTTATGAGATGGCTCTCTCTGCCCCAAAGAGAAGCTTTGGGGTGATGCCCGCCAGTATTTCCACAGCACTTTGCAGTTTACAGAGCACGTCCACGTACGTGGACACCAGCACACGACGCAGGCTGTTTCCATGCTTCTTCTTCTATGGATGAAAAAGTTAAAGCTGACGTTAGGGGCCAGCGCTCTGGGCTCAGGGGCCCGAGGCGCAGCCCCGCCACGGCTCTTAGAGTCTGTATGGTCTGGGCGAGCGGACCTACCTTCCGCGTCTCAACCTCCTGATTCACGGGGAGGACGATCTGCCGGCATCGTGATGTTGTGACGAAGGAAGAAAACTCGTGCAAGGGACGTGGGATCAGGGTCGGGATTGAGAACACACAGGGTGACATTAGTTCTTGTGGTTATTGGTGGTGTTGGTGGTCGACATCGTGGTAACCAGCTTGTAACCGGCGTGACGGGGACTCTTCTCAGGCACCGGGACCCGGGGTCTGTCTGTGACCCCAGCTTCCGTTGTCCCGTCTGCCGTATGATTTCTGTCCGCAAGTCAGAGACAGCAAGCAGAAAAGCAGGAACAATGAAGCCCGTGTTTGGGGAGGTGTTTTGCCTCCTGGCACCGCGAGAACACGAGCTGGGAGCTGAAACTCCTCCCTCCTCGCCTCACATCCTTCCAGCAGGGGACGTAGCGGCACGAGGACTGTATTTAGGCCATCGCAGCCCTCATGGGCTCCGCGGTTGGGGGAGGGGACCAAGCCCTCTGCGCTGTGCCCTCACTCGGGATGTTGGCCCTTCCTGGGTACCTGGGCTCCTCTGTGGGTCCGCACAGGTCAGGAGACGCCCCATCCACACCCGCAAGGGCTGGGGTGCGTTCATCAGCATCACAGGTGGATGTTCACGGCTCTGTGTTTTTCCATTTTCAGTGGGTCTGCACACCTTTTAAGCAGTTCGCAAGAAATAGCCAATTAGCTGAACTGCTGTGTGACCCTGTGGACGGTGCCCGTCCCTCAGGTGGAGGGAGAAGTTCTGAGAGGGACGGAGGGGACGCCGGGGGCTGATGGCTGGAGGGGCGGAGGACCACGAAGGAAAGGTGGGGGCGGGAGGGTGGGAGGGAGGCAGAGGCCCGGGGCGGGGACCGGCTGTTTTCACCTGCGTGAGACAGATTCGCTTCTTCCTCCTTGGATGTTTGGTGTCTTGGCTAAAAATGCCTCAAGGGAATGGTGTCTTGGGGACAGGGAGATGGAGAGGGCGGTGGCACTACAGGAGGCTTGGGCGGGGAGCTGTGCTCGGGCGGTGGTGATGGTGATGGGGGTGGAGGAGACGGTGGTGATGGTGATGGGGGTGGAGGAGACGGTGGTGATGGTGATGGGGGTGGAGGAGACGGTGGTGGTGGTGATGGGGGTGGAGGAGATGGTGGTGGTGGTGATGGTGATGGGGGTGGTGTGAGGAGGAAAAGAAAGTGGGGTGAGAGAAGTAGAGGAGAAGAAATTACCTGCCTTCCTGCTTCATGAAGTGGTCATGACGCTCAACATAAAATGGAAGGCTCTTCATAAACTGTAATGTCCCACCCCTTGCGCTCTCGCTGTGGAAGTGACCGCAGGTCCTCAACCCTCCTGAACCCACGCTCTCGCTCCCGATGGGCACTGCTGTGGTCGGTCACCTCGTCCAGGCCATTGAGATAAGTCGCTTCAGGAGGCAAAGGGTTGTGGGGTTCCCAGAGCCTCCAGGGAAAGGCTCGCGGCTGGGGGGCTGGGGTCCCTTCGGCTGTGGACCCAGGGCTGGGGGTCGGGGTCAGGAGCATTCAGAAGGCCCGGAACCTGGCAGACGGGCTCAGAGAAGTTTCTGGTTTGGTTGTGAAGTTGTGTCAATAGAAAACACACGTGAGGCCTTGGGCTCCAGTTTGTGTTGAAGTCAAGAGGCTCAGAAGTAGCTCGAAAATGGGTCATGCTACCTGCTGAGGGTCCTGGAGGCCCATGTGGGCAGGAGGGAAGAGGGGGCGGGCAGAGGGCTGGTGCTCTGGGCGCTGGAGAGTGGCCCAGGCGGGACCTCTGGGGATACACAGAGCTGCCTGGAGGGGGCGTGAGCCCCACAGACGCCTGCGGAACCCCCCCTGCACCTGCCGCAGAGCCGGGGCAGAGCCGGGGGCCACGCTCGATGCAGAGCCGCGATGGCAGCTGAGCCATCCCAGTGCAGACTATGACTCCTGATCCCCAAGTCGCCGGAGTCGTGTAGCTTCCCACTTTCCTGGTGACAAGGCCACAGCTGGGAAGATTACGCGGCTCGTCACGGGGAAACAGCTTGGCTCCAAAGCCCTTTCCCTCTGTCATTTTGCCCTCCAGTTAAAGACACCTCCTACCCAAGGTGACAAAGAGGCCTGCTTCCGCCCTGCAGGCCTCTGTCCCCAAGGGGACGAGCTTGCAGAAAACACACACATTGTCGTAAGTGCTCGAATCGTGTCTGCAGAGGGCCCTGCACTGAGTGGAGGGCCGTGGGGGGCCGGGGAGGGTAAGACGTCCAGACCAGGGGAGGGGCAGGCCTTGCAGGTGGAGAAAGGCCGGCCTGGCAGGGTTGCCCTCACCGCCCATCTGGGTTGCGCGTGGTGAGCCTTCTGGTGTGGCTGGAGCACACGGTGCTGGCCGGATACGGGGCCAGAGGGACGAGTGGGTTCCACCGGGACCTGGGAGCCAGGCCATGGAGGCGAGACTCCATCCCAGGCCCGGGGCGGGGGTGGCACGGGGGGAGGTGGTTAGGCAGAGAATCAGCCTGGATGCCAGTAAGACCAGTGAGGAAGCTGCCTTAACACCCACACAGTGATGGGGGCGGGCGGAGGACAAGCCGTGGAGACAGGCAGAAAAGGGGGTCTGTTCCCCTGTGCCGTGTGCTGGTCTGCTTCCTTGCAAGAAGGTGGGCATTTAGGGGAGAGTTTTGAGGCCACGGCCGCATCCGTTTGGGAAACCACACACTAGCCACAGGTCATTAAGCAAATGCCCCCTGGTCCCCAGAAGCACTTCAGCTCTGAGTGGGAATACCTGTCACCACTCTGCTCCATTACCCAAAGCAAAGGTGATGTCCCGGAGCCAGTGACGTCCTGGGAGAGGGGGGACCGGCCGCGCCCTGATAGCCTGTGCTGCCCGTGGGGAGGGGCACGTGGCCACCCGTGAACTCCAAGGGGCGGCTCAGCAGCCCGTGACGACGGTGCAGGACACCGCGAGCACGCAGGCAGGCCAGGTCTGCCCTGGGGGCTGACAGCTGAGAAGCAGCCCAGGAAGGGGCCCCGGGGACGGGCAGAGATGCCGTCTGGGGGACGGGCTGGCGAGGGGCAGGCCGGCACCTGGACATCTGAGCCGCCCGCTTGACCCTCCCAGGGGGGCAAGGCCAGCCTCCAGAGGAGACGTGAGCTGAGCGTCTCACAAGTGGGTGAGTCGCGGCCACCTGGCGTCACGGGCGAGGGCAGAGCAAGCTATGCGGGAGGAGAGCTTCCGGATCTTTGGGCTGAGCCCCTGTGAGACCAGCGACCCGGCAGAGTTTCAGCCTCCGGGGCCACCAGCCTCGACAAACAGGCGACTGTCCTTTCCGAGGCTGCTTTGCTCTTAGGTATCCCGTGGTTTTGTCCAGCCCTTCCATCCTTTACAGGAGTCCTGGGTGTTAAGGCCAGACCGCCTGCACCACCATAAGGCCCTTGGGAAGGGCCTGCCTCGAAACATGGTGGACTTGAAGGCGTTGCCTGCAGCCGCCTCCCGCCCACCGCCTCGTGCCCCATCCCAGGGCCCCAGCCTTCCACCAGCTCTCTCGACAAGCAGCTGTCCTGGCGGTTTCCTGACACGTGATCCCGGGGAGGGGGTAGCTGATACAGGTTCAACCATGGCCTCAGGTAGCTTTAGATGAAGACCCTTGATGGTTAGAAAATCTTTAACATCCAAAGGAATGCTTCCTTTTTTTCCCTTTGTGAGAAAATAAGTATAACAAAATTTGCCGTTCTAACCATTTTAAAGTGTCCACTTGAGTGGCATGAATTACGCTCACGACGTTGTGCGGCCATCACCGCTGTTTCTGCAACTTTTCATTCCCCGAAACGGCTCCCTCCTCCTCCAGCCCTGGGAACCTCTAATCTGCAGTTGCCGTGAATTTGCCCGTTCTGGGTGTTTCACAGAAGTGCAATCATACATCCCTGTCCTTTATTCCTTCTCAGGTCTGACTAGTATCCTGTGCGTGTGTTCACCACACTCTGTGTAGTCCTTCAGCCGCAGAGGGAAGGAAAGCTCTCTGAGTGTGAATTTCCACAGCTGGTCTGTTACAGAGCAGGTACATGCTGTTTAACACAGACGGTGGGCGTCGCCCAGCTGCACCACGTGTGCAGAAACATGCATGCTTGAAGAGACACGAGCGTGCATACGTGAACAGACCTGGCGGGCGCTCCCTGATGGCCGGGTCCGGGGAGCTGTCGCCTGGCACCGGCTTCCCTTACCAGGAGGGAATGTCGTGTTCTCCTAAAGCACACGCAGTCATAGTCCCGTTAATGAAGGATTTTTCATTATCAAACCTGTCTGTGTTTATAGGGATCCTCAGAACAGCAAGGCAGGAACGCTGTGTTCTCTCCACGTTTGGGAATCGGCTGTGCCTGTGCAGAGCTGCGCACAGACCAGGGACGAGCTTGACAGAGGACTCTGGAGAGACTTTGGAAGTGGTATTCCAAGTTCTAAGAAAACCAGGGGAAAAAAAAGCACTCATTCCTCTTCTCCAGTACAATCTCAGGCAGAGCCCAGGATATGAAGCCAGCAGGTCACCCGGGCGAGTCAGGAAGCGACGGCTGTGCCCTTTCGCGTGTGTTCTCTCTCCACACCCCATCCTGTGGGTTCCCCAGACTGGAGTCAGCCGCGTAGGGTCCTCGGGTTAAAGTGGCCACGCTCTGGTTCAAGGCGGGGGCAGGGGGGAAGCCCCACCTTGTCAGCCTCCCCCCGACCTGTACCCGCTCCCAAAGCAGCCCTGGGGAGCCCAGGGCTCTCAGCAGCATCGTGTTTTGTTTTGTTTTTTCATGCTTAACTAGCTCTTCTACCGATGAGAAACAGACCAGGGAGGTAGCGTGATTTCCCGAAGACACAGAGCCATTCGGTGTCAGAATCAGGATTGTTACCATCCACAGATAACTGAGTCTGCCGTGAAGAGGCTTACAGTGCGGGTGAAGGGCAGGACGTGTGGACGTGAGGAGAGCGGAAAGCTCTGACGGCCTGTGCCCACCAGGGCCTCACAGCCCACAGGCATCCGGGAGACCTCGTGACCCCTGGGAACCGAGGCGCTCCCTCCTCTGAATCCCCTCAGTGGGTCAAACCTGGGAGTGGATGTGGGCCCGGGTGCCAGTGGCGGCCCTAAGGAGAGAGCAGGGAGAGGGGAGGGATGGGGACACGGTGACAAGGAAAGGACGCACGGGGCGGGCGGGGTTGGGGAATATTGTCGGGAGGGAAGGGGAGGTGCTGGGAAAGGGAAGAGATGGAACCACTTGAGCGGCGAGGTCCCCACTCCAGCCGGCTGCAGCGGAGGGTCCTCGGGAGCCCTGGGCGTCCCCTCGCCCCCCACCCGCAGCTGTGCGTGGCTGCGTCTGGCGCGACCCAGCCTTGTCCTCATGCCTCCTCCAGCCTATTCAACCTCGACCTACAGTGGGGCCTGGAATCAGGCTGCCCCAGGATGGCTTCCAGAGTGGCCGGGGGTTCCCGAGATCACAGAAACGGCGGGTCCCATGCTGGACCTCAGTGCGTTCTCAGGGCTCTGGGACCCCCAGAACCAGGCCCGAGGAGGCCATGAGGAATGTGAACCCATGAGGCCAGAGGCACCCGGACATCAGCCGGCCGGAGAACGGCTTCCACAGCTGCACTGTTCTCCACCCCCGGACGTTTCTATGGCAACACACAGTGTTTAGAAAGGATGACCAAGCTGTTTCACTTGTTTACGTTTTCTTGTTTGTTTTTTGGCTTTGAAGAGAAGGGTGGAATTCATTCTGTAAGGACACCCGTGCCCCTAACGTTAGAGTGAATACAGCACTGCTCACAAGAGGTGCTACACACGTGCACACCCGCGTTCACCCACCTCACAGGTGACTGTGCCCCAGACTTGGTGACCACAGGCCCTTGCTCCTTCCCTGGGTTCTTGTCCGGACCCTTCTTCCTGGCTCCTGGGCCCTCTTCAGTTCTGTCTCAGACCCTTAAACCTCGTACTGAGGAGTCCGACCCACTCGTGTCTTAGGGGGTCAGCGGGGCCCGGGAGGCAAAGAAACGAACGCACTTTGGGCCTCGGGTCAGGAAGTCCAGCTCATCCTGCATGCTCCACGTGTACCCGCCAGGCCTTATCTCATCAGTGTCCTAGTCTTTCCGCCGGGAGGTTACTTAGATAACCTCTGAGGTCCTTTATCTCTCAGACCCCATGGCTTTAAGCAGGACCCTGTCACTTCTCCTGGGAGACAATTCCCAGGACGCGGAAGCACTCCCTTGGGCTGAGGTCGTCCCGTAGGGGATGGACCCCAGCCTCAGCTCTCCTCCGGTCCACATGATCTCCAGGGCCACCTTGTCCAGCCGCCCCTGCGAGCCCACCTCTACGTCCAAGTCCAGGAGCTCCGCCTTGAGTACAGAACGCGGACCCCTCCTCTTCCTCAAGGCCCCACTGCAGCGAGAGGGTCCTCCACCCACAGTCACCGGGTTAGAAACCCCGGGGGGGCCGCGCCCTTCTTTCCCTGTCTCTTCTCCGACCCCCACGTGCAGCCGGAAAGCGAATCACACGCCTTCTGTGCCCCAGGTCCCCCTGCTCATCTCCAGTCCCCCGTCTCGGCCGCGGCTCAGGCCTCCACGATCTCTGCGGGGGCCACCCCCGCCCGATTGCCCCATCGTGACAGCGCCAGATGGCAGTGCACACCACAGCAGGGCCGCCGTCTCCTCAGAACGGAAGCCGAGTGTCCAGGCCTGGCCCCAGAGCCCCTGGTCCCCTTGCTCCGGCCCACCTCTCCAGCCCGTCCCCTCCCCAGCCACGGCCTCCACACTTCCCCCCTTTACCTCTCTCTCCACCGGATGCCTGACCCACCCACTTCAGCTGACAGCTCTCCATCCTCCCAGCCTTCCCTCCAGGGCACAGCTTACCTGCTGTACTGGACTCTGTCCATCTGTCCCCATTGTCCCCAGAGCTCCTGGAGGTCAGTTTCTGAGCCCTTTCTCTTGAATCTCCAGCACATAAACATGTCCGTGAACGGCTGAGTGGAGGACTCTCTGCCATGCCCGTGGTTCCTTCTCGTCTCCACCTGTTATGTCACATGCTGTAGATTAGGGAGTGGGCCTCATGGGGGAAACTTACAAAGGCCGAGGGTCAACAAGAGAAGACACACGTCCCCAGGTCCTCCATCTCACAGGAGGTGCAGCAGGTCTAGGACGCGCCGGGGCTGAGGTGTGAGCCTGCACGGCAGTGGAGGGACCCGGGACCCCTCCTCCCCCGTGGCTTTCTCTTTTCATAGAGGAATCAGGAAGAGAAGGCAGCCTCGCAGATGAGGGGGTAAACACACTGCTTGGTGCCGGTCGGGCGGGGCTGGGGGTGCCGCTGTTTAAGGAGTTGTCTGAGACGCCAGGACGCTTGGAGCCCTGGGGTATGGCTGTCCTCCCTGCCGCGGGAAGGGGTGTTCCGAGCTGGGTTGCTACCTGTCCCAGAAAGCTCACTGTGCAGACGACCCAGAGGGCTCTCCAGCATCGTGTCCAGGGACTCAGCTGGTTGTGCCTCACCAGTGACGTGTGACTGATGGAGGCTGGTGGGGTGAATGCATCTGGCACGCAGGCGAACACATGAAAGCCCCTGACACAAACGGGTACCCAGCTTACCTTTGTTTCCCTTCTCATCCCTGCTCCAACTTCGTGAATTTCCGCAGAGGTTTCTGGGGGTGCAGAGGAGGTGGCCCTGTCAGCTGGGGCTAAACGTGGGCGCTCTGAATGGTCTCGGGGGCGGGGGCTGAGTGGCTGGACAGCTCACCTTCTGCAGTCGTCCTCAGGTGTGTCGCGCCCTTTTGGAACATGCATTCCCTTTCAACAAGGTCCTGATGTACATTTTTATCCAACATCACCTGCTTTTTAAAGACCAGAGTTCCTACGCACTGCCGTTTGTTCCTGGGTCGCAGACCCCCGGGAAACCACGTCCCAGACCAACTTCAAGATGACGGAATGGGTGGGAGGTGAGGACAGCCTGCCTCGGAGAGGCTGGTGGAGTCCCCCCCTCCATCCCCTTCCCCTGGTTGCCGCTTGTCTGGGCCTCTCTCAGCACGTGGACCAGTGGTTCCTAAACGTCAGGTGCTTCAGAGACACCCGGGGAATGGTCTGGAATGTGCACTTCCAGGCTCCATGGCCAGAAGATCTCCTCCAGTAGGTCTGGGTGGGGCCCGGGGCTCTTCCCTTTTTAACTTTGTGTCCCCAGACTTCGTCCTGAGCTGGGCTGGGTGAGGCTGGCACGCGCTCAATGTCGCAGGGTTTGGGGAGGGTGGGCAGAGCAGATGGGCAGAGCACGGGGGGCGCTGGGACCAGCCTGACCTCCCTGCAGGGTGGGCGGCAGGCCGTATGCCTTCTAGGGATACGGTGGGCGTGGGACCTGGGGTCTTCAGTGAGCCCCTCCTGACTTGCGGAGGGGGAGAAGCCGGGTCTGGGGTCTGAGGTGGGAGCTTCCTGGACGCTCCCATGGAGACGAGCGCAAAGCACCGGTGTGTGAAGGCCACGGCCGCCCCTGCCTGAGGGGCCTTGAAGGCTCTGCACCAGGGGCAGCGTGGGAGAGCGGCTGCTGCGGAGGGTGGGGTGCCGGTGAATCAGCCCTGAGTCGGCTCCAGCCAGCCGGAGTCAGTCCTGCCGAGCGTGGGCTCCAGGGACAGGGCCACATCCCACAGCAGAGCCCTCTTGGAGAGGACAGAGTGTGGAGAGCGGAATAGCACCGCCCCTCCACCACCCAGTGCCCGCCCTCATCCTGGCAATGCTGGGGTCCCTGCGGATCCGGTCTCGCTCTTTGGACAGAGAGTTCTGTTTCCTCACGGAAGAGGGCTCGCAGGTCGGGGTCAGCGCGCGTGGGCAGCTGCCTCTGTTTCAGCAGCCGGCGGAGGTTTGCATGCTCTGCTTCTTGGTGGCCGGGTACAGAGACCCCGGCTGTAGCTTCAGGGTTGGTGACTCAGAACTGTGGCACTTCCCCTGCCCTTCTGTCTCAACCCTTCTCAGCACCAGCTCCCATCCCGGCATCCTTGGGTCCCCTTAGAGGAGGCATCATGAGTTCTCTTCTGAGAAGTACGAGGAACTGCTCACTGATGAACTGAGATGTTTCTCAAAGATGTGCGATTTTTCACCACCCTAATTTCTGCATTTTAACATTTGAAGACTAAAAACCCCCTTCCTGCCCAGTGGATCGGAGCTCTCCTGTGGGATGGACCGTGGGGCTCGGGATGTGGCCTGGGGGTGTCCCCCTGATCCGACCGTGGAGGGGCCCCCTTCTCCTCCACCACCTTGGGGGACCTGCTGGGTCAGAATTTTCCAAATCCCCAGTCTAATGACTCCTTCTCTCTCTTCTACTTGTGTTTCCTAGGAACGGGTGGAGTATCTCTTTCTCATCATTTTTACTGTGGAAGCATTTTTAAAAGTCGTAGCCTACGGGCTGCTCTTTCACCCCAACGCTTACCTCCGCAACGGCTGGAACTTGCTGGATTTTATCATTGTGGTTGTCGGGTGAGTACAGCCACCCCTCCCCGCCTCCGCCACCCTCGCCCGGTACCGGCCCCTTCCCATCCGTATCTGTGTCTCTGGTCACAAGGGCCCTGGGCTTCAGGCCAGACGAGAGGATCTATTAAACATCACTTTGGATTCAGACTGTCTCCAAAGGGAGAGGAGCGTCACCTGGAGCGGCGCCGGCCCCCGCTCCCACCTGCACACGCGTGCACACGCACACACGCGCACACGCACACACACGCGCGTGCGCACCGGTGAATCCGGGGCCTCCTGGTGGAGCCCAGGGGCCTCTGTGCGGTCAAGGAGACGCCCCAGCTGTAGGTCTCCCTCTGGGCCTCACCCGGCACAGCAGCCCCTGGGCGCCTCCCCTGCGGTGTGGCCGGGTGTGTCTGGTTAGGCTGGGTGGGAAGGCGGCTGGCACCCGGGAGCCGGGACACCCACCTGCACCTCTGCAGGGTCCTGGCTCGGCGGCTGCCGGGACCGGACAGTGGGACTAGGAAGGGCCGGGGGCACGGGGCCACCCGCTCTGCTGCAGAGGCCAAGTCAGCCTACGCTCAGAAACAAAGCGGCGTCAGGAAGCTTCAGGAAACCCTGGAAGTGACGATCTCCTTATCAAGGCATCGGTAACTTCAGGAAAAGATTCTCTGTGGAATGTTTGTACAAAGAGACCCGCACGCGCCACGAGAGACACAGCTGACCAGGCTCCAGTCACTCGTCCGTCTGCGGAGGGCAGGGTGCCCGAGCCTCGGGGCTGACCTGGCGCTACTTCAAGCCCACCTGCCGTTCACTCCCTCGCTGTCCCCACAGCCTCCGGGGTCAGGTCAGCGTGGCATTAGGCTCCTACCCCAGGGGGCCCTTCCCAGCCGCCCCGGGAGGATGTTGTGCTGGTGGCTTCCCCAGAGCGCGCCCTACTCAGAGCCTCGTGGGCGCCCGGCCTTTCCTGCAGGAAGTGACGGAGCAAATCAGGGCCATTTGGGAGCGAGTCCCTGTCTCCGGGCGTCTGGAGCTGTTTCCGAGTTTTCGCCGCTGTCCTTTTTTGCCTGGCCAAGCATGACACGCTTTGCATTAACATCAGGGACACTTGGGAGGCATGAGGGACACGGAAGTTTCTGGACTCTGCCACGTGCAGATGTCAGGGTGAAGCTGCAGATCTGCGAGAGATTTGCTGCTTCTGTTCACTCCAGGATAAACAGAGTGACTGACAAATGCCTTGAACTAACTCAGCAAACCGTGGCAAAGTCCTTTAACGCGCTTCTTCCCGATACATCTAAATCCTTTTCAATTCAGCGTCGCCCTCAAGGCCCGAGTCTCCTGGGAACCTTTCACACACTCACAGAAAGAGCCCAAGGAATGAGATCTGGTGCTTCTGGGGCCAACAGAGAGGAGAGGCGCCTCTTGGGGCAGAGAAGCTAAGTCTTTTCCCGTCTGTGGGCTGAGTTGGCATTGGTCTATATGATGCTCTGCCCCAAACGTGGCCTCACCTCTGCGTGGGGTGGAAGCAGGAGACACAGGTGGACCTCAGACAGGGGCCCGTCCCCCACTTGCATGGAGCCGGCTCCTCCCGAGACTGCCGCGAGCGGACTGCTTGTGGGTCAGCCCAGATCCCAGCCACGTCTCCCCGGGCCCGGGCCGTCAGGCTGAGGAAGAGAGGGACGCGTCCGGACTCGGCACTCTCCCAAGGGTGCCCCCCTCGACTGTTTGTGACGTGGAGGCTACGATGCCAGCGCTGGCTCAGCTTGTGGTCCACCATGACCCTCTGGCTTTTTCCCGTTGATCTCGCAATCGGCCACATTCAGCACCTGGTTTCTCTTCTCCAAGGCGCTGGTCTTTGGGGCTCTCCATCCAGTCTAGACTCAGCCCATCCCTCTAACTCGGAAAACGACACACCCGCATGGAGGGTGTGGCCCAGCCACCTCTCTTCAGCTGTGCCCTCCCATCCCGACCCCTTACACGGATGTGCCTTTGCTTCCTCGTGTCTCCTGGGAAATATCTGCTCACCTTGGCCCCTCCTGGGCAGCCTCTGCCCTCCTGCAAACTAGAGGGAGTCTGCCTTGCTCCGGGGGAGGTGGGCTTGCCCGCCTGAGTGCCGGGCTGAGGGCCCCTCTCCCTTCCCTGCCTTGCCACCCAGGAGGCCAGTGCCAAGGCATTGCCCTCCCCTCACGTGCCCCATTCCTTCCGGAAGTGGAGGAGTCTTCTCGGAACAGTGGGGACATGGGGCTGCTGAATGGATGTGGGAGGACTTCAGAGCCTCTGTGAGCTACTCCCCTCCACCCCCATCAGGCGATCGGGGGGCCTCCCCGCACCCCCGCCAGGCACCCAGGAGCCCTCCCTCCGCCCCAATCAGGCACCCGGGAGCCCTCCCTCCGCCCCCATCAGGCACCCGGGAACCCTCCCCACAGCCCCACCAGGCACCCGGGAGCCCTCCCTCCGCCCCCACCAGGCACCCGGGAGCCCTCCCTCCGCCCCCGCCAGGCACCCGGGAGCCCTCCCTCCGCCCCCATCAGGCACCCGGGAGCCCTCAGCAGATGCACCTGCTCAGACTGTCTACTCCAGCCTAAGGGGCCTCTTTGTGTCTCCAGCTCCCTCCCAATGTGGGGCCCTGCCTCTCGGCTCACAGGGCCTCTAGAGACCATCATCCTCTCTGACAAGCTCTAACGTCCAGCTAAGGAACTGCCAGACACACCGCCTGGAGAAGGTCCCTGGCCCTTAGGCGCCGGGGGGCACCAAGCAGTGGTTTCGCCTCTACAAAGTGTGACTGAGGAGAAACACGCCGGCCCCTGCAAGCTGAGAACACGTCTGAGGCCCATTCCTGAAATTTCTGCCCCTTCAGGGGTTAAAGGCGAGGATGGCTGTTCAATCTCTGTTCCCTTCCCCGAATAACATTTGTGAACATCTTGTACGTTGATAAGCGTGTTCCTTTCTTCCAGGAAGTTCTAGGAACCAAATCTGGTTTGGATTTGGAATGTTGTTCAACAGACTTGCAAACTGGTGTCCATGTCCTAAGTTTCTGTGATCCAGGCTTCCATGGAAAGAACATTTCTCTGCAGAGAAAGGACCCCGCTTCCCCCACCCTGGAGACCTCTGCCTGGGATGGGAGGTGTCACCAACTAACACATGGACCCGTCAAACTGCCGAGCTGGGGTGAAGGAATACAGAACAGGCAGGACATCAGACGTGGTCTGGCCACAGAACCCACCGTGCAGACACAGCCTACTCGGGGTCCCCGCATGGAAAACAGACCAAAGGGAAGCCACTCATCCCTGGCCTCGCTGCCCAAGAAGTCCCCGAGGGCTCTCCGGAGCATGTTTTGCAAATCCCTGTTTAGACCAGCTCCCGCCGCTGGGCCCTGCCTGGGTCTAAGCTTCTGCTAAGCCCCCAGCTGCAGCTTCCCCGTTCCCAGACCCAGCCCCCTGGGGCAGGGGTCATAGAAGCCCCAGCCTGTTCCTCAAGACCAGGCTGCCCAGGCCCGGTTCAGGTCTGCTCCCTGGGCGTCTTCCTTGGCCCTAGGCACGACCCAGTGCGCTCTTCTGACCATGAGTCAGTGGGACGTCTCTAGGTACAAAGACAAAGATGGTCCACGGGGCCCTTTCCCATATTCTTCTCGGTTCCCACAGGTGGCCCAGGATCCCAGACTCCCATTCCCGTACATTCTCTGCATGTTCTAATCCCTCCTGAAACCTTTCCGAGGTGCCCTGTGTTCCCCACAATCCCTCCCCATTTCTGGTCTTAGCAAACATTTTCTGTAAAAGTCCAGATACCAGATTTCCGCTTTGCAAGCTTTGTCCCAGCTCCTCAGCTCTGTCGAGAAAACATCAGTACGGAGCGGGTGTCGCTGGGTCCTCACCAGATTTATTCCAGAGCAGGGAGCCTCGTGCTGCCCTAACCCCAGCACCGGTCCCTCCTTCTCTCTCTCATTCTCCCCGCGGGTCCTGCTGCCCTTGCCGTCTCTCAAGATACGGCCCCTCCCCTCCAAATGCTCGCAGGCCAGGAGAGGAGCCCTGCTTCCTCTTATTCTGCTTTCAGACCACCGCCCCCCTCCTCCCTAAGCCCCTCCAATTCTTTTTTTTTTAATTTATTTATTTTATTTTTGGCTGCGTTGGGTCTTCATTGCTGCACACGGGCTTTCTCCTGTTGCAGCGAGCAGGGGCTGCTCTTTGTTGTGGTGCAGACTTCTCATTGCGGCGGCTTCTCTTGTTGCAGAGTATGGGCTCTAGGTGCACAGGCTTCAGTAGTTGTGGCTCGCGGGCTCTAGGGCGCAGGCTCAGTAGCTGTGGCACACGGGCTTAGTTGCTCCGCGGCATGTGGAATCTTCCCGGACGAAGGCTCGAACCCGTGTCCCCTGCACTGGCAGGTGGGTTCTTAACCACTGCGCCACCAGGGAAGCCCAACCCCTCCAATTCTGATGCTTGTGTCCTCAGACCCTCTAGCCGTTGCTTCTCCAAGTCGTGGTCCTCCCACGCCTTTGAGTCTCTCCGTGGCTGTGGAGACACGAGCTCTTGGCCAGCTCCTCCTCTCCATCACGCACTGTCCCGCCATCAGCCTCCCAAGCTTCTTGGTTCCTTGACGTCTTCTTCCCCAGGGATCCTGACTCTGTCCTGTCTCAGCTGCCCACTCCCAGGGTCGAAGTCAGGATCCCCGCCATGACCGCAAACCACATCCTCTCCATGGCCTCGGACCAGCTTCCTGCTCTCCTGAAAATACCACCCATCCTTCCTGCTCCCTCCGTCCGGCGCTGGACTCCGACGGTGCCCTCCTCCTGCCCTGAGGTCGGCTCTCGCCTGTGTCTCCACTCAGCTGTTACTTCTC